AGAGGAAAGGAGGGATCTTTCCCTGTAGCAGTTATCTCCAATCAAAAGTTACCAGTGATCTTAGGCAGAGATGTGATGGGAGCAAAAGCAAGGATTCAAATAAATTCAGAAGAAAGCGACGTGCCTCCAAGTGAATCCATAGGCCCCGCAAAACAGCCTCTGGAGACCTTGACAACGGATACAGTTGCTATTTGCCAAGAGTCAGAGGGAGAACAGGCCTCCAAGATACCTGTCTGTGTGGAAGAAAAGCTCTCACTCTCTGAAGTCGAGAGAAATAAAGACTCTGAAGAGTTTAAGAGAGAGGTTAAAACAAAATACCTTAAAGAACTCCAGCAAGAAAATAAGGCTTTGAGAAAGCAAGTCGCAATAGAGAGCAAGCAGTATAGTAGTACTGAAGACAAGGTGAATACATTCCAGCTGGAATTGGAAAAATTAAGTAAACAACTTAAAGAAAAAGATGCAGTACTAGAACGCTTTAAAACAAAGGAACAGCAGCTAACATCAGTCATTAGAACGTTGGAAAAGGAACGTGCTTGGAAGACAAACCAACTTTTCTCCATCCAAGAGCAGCTTAAAAGTGACATAGAAAAGAAAGAAACTGTGGCTAAAGAAACAAACAAGGATAGTGTGATAGCTGAGATGAATTCAACCACGCAGTGCACCATCACAGGGAGGAAAATTGACCCAGCTGAGCTGTTTCCAGGCATCCCCCCTATGACCCGGCCTGTCTGTTTTTGGACATCCCCGAGATGACCGCAGCCCCGCTGATTTTCCACATCCAAGAGATGACAACAGCCCCACCGTGGTACATCCCAGAGATGACATCAATTTAAAAGAGGACATCACCTAGCAGTGAACAACAACCCAGCGGAGTGGGACTGTAAGTTAAGGAACCCACAAACTTTGAGAGCAACCAAGAAGAATGAACTGAACTTGCAATATAAAGACTATCCAAACTTTATGAAGACGGAAGAAGCTACACCCATCCCTTTGGACAAAGATATGTGTTCCGCTTAAAGGAGAAGGGAGGGGAAATGTAACGATTTCATGTTTTGTGTGTTTGTGTCTTTAAAAGTGGTTTGCATGGCTGTGTGATGATAATGTAGAATGCTGGACAGGCATGTGGTGTGATTGGTGATTGACAGAGAGGGGGAGGGAGGATAAGATATGTCAGTCAAGAGTGTCAGTTGAAGGGTGTCTGTTAGAGTTATGAGAGTTGAAAAAGACAGTTGAACAGTCAGCAGAGAGTGCTGTATAAAAGCAGTTAATATGAGAGTTGTCCTGAGGTCCCTGTGAGGGAAAGATTGGGTTCTGTGTAATAAAAGAGTTAAGCAGTTTGTTCGTTTTAAGGTCTGAGAGAGAGAAGTCTTGTGTGTGTTATAAAAAGTTAAAGCATAAAGAAACAGTAACCATATATTGCCTAAGGAAGATACTGTTACAAAGTGACATGCCCTGATCCCTGTCAATAAGAGGGAAGAGTGTGTGAACAGCAAATAAATCTACTTTTATTTAAGATAACAGTTCTGAACGAAATTCTTCCCAGGAAACACATAGTCCTTCGAAAGCCCAGACCCTGGGTCACAATACCAAAACCAGAAGAAGAAAATATTATAGAAATAGGTGTGGGAAAGCCTAAATTTCCCTGGTGGCAGCCAGATTACCCTGAGAGCAAACATAAAGAACAATTTAAAGTAAAACTAGACCTCCCCAAATAAGAGGTCGTCACACTCACACTATTTTTTTTGGTAATTATATTTTCTACTAGGAATAAGGCCAGTTGTGGAAGGGCGTAGCGGGGAGGGCGGAGTATAAATTGAATAAAATAATAAATAAATATAAATAAAATAGAAACAGGCTCTGGGCGGGTGCCCTGGCCTTCAGCACTCAGTGTTAATTTGCTGTGGCAACATCAACAGGGTATAATGACACAGAGCTTACCATTTTCTCCAGGGGAACTGATCTCTGCCATCTGAAGAGCAGTTGTAATTCTGTCTGATCTCCAGCCCTCCCCTGGAGATTGGCAACAATGGTTCCCAGGAGGAAATGTCTGGTTCGCAGGGTAGAGTCTATGGCATTGTACCTATCTTGGAGGTAGCAACCCTATCTCCTTCCCAGCCAACCATCAACATACCGTTATCTACCCCTCTGACTTCAGCTTTCCATCTCCCCCTGCCCAACCGGAGCCTCTACCTAGGAAAAGTACAGTCTTTCTCCTCCTCAGTGGGGACCCACACAGGAGGGGAAGCGACCTCAGCAGGGTATAATGACTCAGAGTCCACCCTGCAAAGCAGCCATTTTCTTCAGAGGAACTGATCTCTGCCATCTGGAGAACAGTTTTAATTCTGAGTGATCTCCAGCCCTCACCTGGAGAATGGTAGCAATGGTTCCCCAGGAGGAAATCGCTGGTTTGGAAGGTGGAGTCTATGGCATTGCACCTGTCTGAGGTCCCACTCCTCCTCAAACCCCACCCTCTTCAGGCTCCACCCCTCAAATCTCCAGTAATTTCCCAACCTTAAGTTGGCAACCCTATCTCCTTCCCAGCCAACCATCAACCTACCATTATCTGCCCCTGATCTCTACCATCTGGAGAGTGATCTCCAGCTCTCATCTGGAGATTGGCAGCAATGGTTCCCCAGGAGGAAAAGTAGTCTTCCTCCGCAGTGGAGACCAAAGCAGCTTACACCATTCTCCTCTCCCCCTTTTGATCTGCACAACAACCCTGCAAGGTAGGTTAGGCTGAAAGTCTGTGACTGGTCTGAAATCACCCACTAAACTTCCACAGCAAGAACCTGGGTTTAGAAGACCCTGCTCTGAAGTGCTAAATCCTACGCCTAGGGTAGCCAATCTCCTGGTAGAGCCTGAAGATCACCGGGTATCACAACTGAATTCCAGACAACAGATCTCCCCCCCCCCCCGAGAAAATAACTGCTTTGGAGGGTGGGCTATATGGCATTTTATTTCGCTGAGGCCTCTCCCCTCCCCAAACTCTGGCTAGCATAGACTCCACCACAGAATATCCAGGAATTTCCCAACCTGGAGCTGGCAACCCTAGTCAGGACTGGCCCCAATGAGTTCCCCACAAAGGCCTGGAAAGGGCTTCCTTCGTTTGCCTTTTTACTGACAGAACCAAGCTTGGTTGCCTAGCAACAGCCCCTGAGGGAAAAATTAGTCCCATGGGAGCCAAGAAGGAGAAGTGTCTTCGTCAGGAGAGACAGCCGTTTTGATAGTTTATTCTGCAAGGGAAAAGTGTCCAGGCTGGCAATGGGTAGGGGACAGGCACACGAGTATTCGAGTGGCAGTTGATGGGCCAATGGCTGATGGAGCACACTGCACAGCCAATGGGAGAGCTGGAAATGGCCAATACGTAAAGGAATTATATATGTGTGTATATAGGATGTTTTTTCCCTATCCCTTCTTTTTTTCTGTATCCCTTATAATATTTTTTTTTTAAAAAAGAAAGGCTATATTGGCATGTTGTACTCATACACAGACATATCTATTCTTGAGCCTTACCTTTTCAAGTGCACTAAAAGAACAGGAGGCAGCTTCCAGATTTCTATCTTTTTTAAAGAATCTCTTCGAGTCTTGCAATGGCTGCAATAAAATCTGTTGTTATCTGTCAATTTTTCTTCTTTGGAGAATAATCTAAGGCATTCCTAAGGGGGGGGAAGGACAAAGACAGCCTCAATTCAAAGCTTCAGAGTAAGAATGAGAATCAAAGGGAGGGGAGGCATCAAAGAAGCCTACCTACTCATACTAACTGCCAGTTCAAATTCCCCCACCTCCCTGGAGAGATGAAGGGTATCCTTTTGGCTCCCTTCCATCCTGGTGGGAACCGGTGAAAAATCTCTCAACCACTCTGACAAAGGGACCTTTGACTCTCGAAAGCTTATATCCTGAACATCTGGTTGGTCTCTAAGGTGCCACTGGACTCAAATCTCGCTCTTCTGTTGCAGAGCAACACAACTGCCCTCTGAATCCTCTCAAAGGGTTTCCCTCTCCAAGAGGGACAAGAGACCCCTTCCTTCAGTTAGGATCTCCTATTCAGGTTGCTCACTTTTCTTTGTGGTCAGGGAAAATGGAGCAGTGGAACCCTGAACTCAGCGCCCCAAGCATTTCTGTAATAGCACAGAAACTAGAAACGCGACTGTAACGATTCCTTGTTTTTGGTGTGTGTGTGTCTCTTTAAAAGTTTGGTTGCATGGAGGTGGTAAGTAGAGTGGTTGAGAGAAGCAAGCGTGGTATGATTGGTGGTTGACAGAGAGGGGGAGGGGTTTGGAAGTGAAAATGAGTGGATGAGTATGTATGTCAGTCAGGAGTTACAGTTAGATGTTGACAGTTGAGAAGTTCAGTTTGTTCTGTGTGTGAAAGGGGAGACAAGCAGTTCTGTGTTGAAGCAGTTATAAGCTGAAAGTTGAGTGTCTAGGAAACAGTAAAGTTTAAGTGAACAAGAGTTAAAGGAAAGTCTGAGTGACAGGCCAGAGTGAAACAGTAAACATACATAGCATTGAGATAAACAAATGTTACAAAGTTACCTGAAAGATCCCTGTCAGTAAGGGAGAAGATTGTGTGGGATACCAAAGAAATTGTTCAGTATTTACACATTACTAGTTACATTGTACTGCCCTCTTATTCATGCTTTATTTTAATAAATCCTCTTTCATTCAAGTATAACAGCTCTGAAAGAAATACTTCCTCAGGACTACATAGTTCCTCGTGGGCCTTGAACTCGGTCTACCTAACCAGTGAGAGTAAAAGTAAAAGCATAAAGGTTTGGAAATCCTTAAAATTTCCTGGTGGCAGCCGTATATACCCAGTAAAACAAAATAAAGAACATTTTTAAAGTGAAACTAGTCCTCCCCAATAAGGAGGACGTCACAGCGACCAATCTAAGATCAGGAATGTTAAGAATGGTTTAACTTCTGGCCTAAACTCTTCAACAGGACTTACCTGTAGAGTGCATTTACTAGTGGATGCGAGGGGCAAGGACAGATACATAAAAGCTTCAAAGGTCCGGGACTTTTTGTGACAGGTCAAACACTGCACCGTTGATTTGAACTGGCCTTGGAAAAGTGCAACGATAATAGACTCATTGAGCTGCTTGTGTTTGTGCCAAGCGAGTTCGGCTGCTTTGAAGTCATCCAGGTGATCGTTGTTTTCTTCTTTATAGCGCTTTCTGTTGTCAGCCTGGGAAGTGGGGAAACTGAATACTAAGAAGTGTGTCTGAACTCTAGAACGGCTTCACATACAAGAACAAAAACATGTGCAGTGATGGAAAGACGGAAGGAACATGCCACACACACACACACACTTTGAGCCTCCCTGCTAAGCTGACAAG